CACCAGAAAAAATATGTTGAAATACAAACTACACTAGTGAAGTTATTGAATAGCTCTTACAAGTTGCTGTAACTTCGATTTTTTAATTTTATCTCAGAACCTACATAGCAGCTTTGCAAACCAGGGAGGAGATCTTGAGAACTCTTTGTGGTTCTCTCTTGCCAAAAAAGACTGGGTAGCTGAAAAAAATCTTGTCAAGTCTACATTCGGTAAGATAACTTTTCAAAAAAATAATTTTATATGTTATACTTGTTGAAGTATTTCAATGCATTTATAAGCTTAATTTCCACCATTTAAGTTAATACAGTATATATCAGCATTTGGGTCAGGCATTTCATGTGTTATAATACGTGAATGTTGTCTATCTTTGCAGAATACGCTGCGAACATAATTGAAATGGCTCTGTACATGGCAAAAAGTAATATGAAAGAGTTTTTTACACTGCTGAAATAATGTGCGATCCGGGAACAATTGCTGGGAAATTACCGAAACCAGACAAAAATCAGTTCGTGTCCAGTTTACTCAGCCGATTTAACAGAAATTAAATACTGTATAGCCATACAGTAACATGACCATGTTACACTTTTTTTTATAAGAGCCATTCAAATTATGCCCAGGCTCACTGTTATTATTTTTGCGGATTCCAGCATTGCTCTATTTCCATTTACAGAAAATTGTTATTGTACAGCAGTATATTACTGTGATAAACGTTATAAGATCGTTATCCTTGAAGTATAAACAGGCCTTTATCCTCAACTTGGGCTTCAATATTTGGAAAAGCTTTTGGTTTGTACCTGATTGTACTTTAAACATTTCTTATGAGGTAGTTCTTGTTATCTTGCATAGTAAAATACCTACTACATGTCTTGTGACATGTTTCCAAACTACATCTACCACGTTGTATTAACAAATTCTACCCACTTATTAAATGTTTCTATATCCTTTTTGGAAAGAGAACACAAGATAGTTTCTGGTGACTAAATTGCATTCTGATGTGTTGAATTTGTGTAGAAAAAAATCATGGA